CTGCTCCTGCAGCTTCCCAGGAATCCATGGAGACACCTGGGCTCCCACAGGATGCCCCTGTGCTCCCTGACCCACCAACCACTCCTGCAGCTTCCCAGGAATCCATGGAGACACCCGGGCTCCCAAGGATGCCCCTGTGCTCCCTGACCCACCAGCTGATCCTGCAGCTTCCCAGGAATCCACGGAGACACCTGGGCTCCCACAGGATGCCCCTGTGCTCCCTGCCCCACCAGCTGCTCCTGCAGCTTCCCAGGAATCCACGGAGACACCCGGGCTCCCACAGGATGCCCCTGACCCACCAACTGCTCCTGCAGCTTCCCAGGAATCCACGGAGACACCCGGGCTCGGGCAGCTGCAGCCCGGCCTCCCCTGCTGGAAGGTGTGGGAGTCCTTGGCTGAGGGCGCCAGGAACCACATCAGAGAGCCGGGAGATGCCTTTCCCAGGGATGTTTCAGCACCGGGGTGTTCGGGGAGTGTTTTCCCTCAGCGATTGATCCGGGAGAGCCCCTGGGGCAGAGCTCAGGTGCTGACACAGCTCCCGGCTCCCCTCCGGCTGGTCCTGGTCCCTGAGCCCCCGGACTGTGGTGCCGGGGAAGGGAGACACGTGGAGCAGGGGACAGCCCACACCTGAGGTGGGGACAGCAGCCCCTGTGCCGGGACAGCCCCGGGAACATCCCCACACAGGCAGCACAGGCAGGGAGACACCACCCACCTCCCGGAGAGGATGAGTGAAGGTTTTATCGGTGCATCCCTCGGGGTGGATCAGTGTGAGTCGACACTGTGTGTGTACACACGAGCAGGTTTATTTTAAAACAGTTTAATTGCAGTGGAAAGGGGGATGTGGGCGTTTTGGTGGTTATCTGTAAAAACGCAAATATGTAAAAATATAAATACGCCCCTAAAGAAAATATATGAGGAAAAGAAAGAAAGAAAGGATGAGAGTAGACAGTGGAGCAGGAAGATTTTACCCCCCACAGATTCAGCAATGGGACTCGATTGCTGCAATTTCAGTGTCTGTGTTGGAGTGATGGTCACGGTGTTGATCTGTTGGGGGTGGGATCCCCTGAAACAGGGGTTTAGTGGGTCAATACACATTCAGGTTTAGGTGAGGGTGTCCAGGTACCTCCCCCGGGGGGGATTTTTACTGTCTGATGTAGCGCTGTGGATCATGTGCTGTCCTCTGGTGGAAGCCTCAGAGTCTGGGGTGCTTTGGGGGTCTTTGGGGGTTTCTGGCTCCTTTAATGCCGGGACGCTGTTGGGGGCCGCCCCTTTTGCCGGGTGTGGCTGAGCCAGATGTGCCTTACAGAGGGAACTGGCTGATGGAAACCATTCCCCCCGCTCCGCAGGATCTGCTCCTGCCCCACCTTCCCCCTCTCCGGGGCAGAAATCAGCTGGGTTAGGGTGTCAGTCCAGGGGATCGGGGACAGGAACTCACGGGGCTGAACCGGTTTGCCTGAACAAAGTCTGGTCTGTCCCAGGGGGACAGCAGCAACCAGAGAAACGCGGCAGCACCCGGTG